GTTCCTTGGGAACTTCGTACCACATGTTCTTTGGAGGGCTTGGGTAACGTTTAGGGGCAACGAACGGAGTAGTATCTTGAGACATCTCGTATATAGTAGCTGGGAAATTCATAGCTTCGGGCTTCGAATCGGAGGGAGGGGCGGATCTATAGTCAAGTCAGTACTCTTTTCTTCGGGGGTAATACGGGACAGGGAACTAACCTTTGAGCATCCCAATTTGACATGGTAGGCTGGAATGGCGGTGGGTTCTGCTCGTGCTCTTTGCGTGGAGGAGCCCCGTGGTGGGGCTCGGTAATCTGCTCTTGTCGAGCCTCAGCATGCGTTCCCTCAACGTGAGTATGAGCAGAAGACGAGGCAAAAGCAGAGGGATCAGATTGAGGGGCGGTGGCTCCAGGAGGTGCCTCTACGAAACCATGATGCTGATGATCATGGTGATCATGGTGGTAGTATTCGTTGCCGCCGTAGTGCTCACGTGCTCCATGATCAGGAGTGCCATGAGAATGGCCTTGATCATGATACTCATGTTGATGGGGATGCTGGAAATGCTGGTGCTGCTGATCATGGCGATCACCACTATGAAGCTCACCAGTAGTCTGAACATGAGCAGCCTTGGGTTGGTATTCTCCTTTCGTAAAATATTGCACCAGCTCTGATGCTGGCTGCGTAGTGGTAGTGGTAGGTTCAGTAGGCACGGTCAGTGTAATTGTTGGGGTCTAACATATGGTAAGCTAGATGTCTAACAAAAAAAAATGAAAGAGTATACGAGGGAGAAACTCACAGGTACCCCGTAATGCTTATCGTAAACTGCCCACCATCTACCAGTCATCTGGTCATATGGAGAGCTTCCAGTGCTGGCGCGTCTCCCTTTGAACCACGGTTTCTCGGGACCGATGAAGTGAACCATATTTATACCCGACTGAAAATGACGATAGGCGGGGACATACTGGTAGTGGCCAGAAGGCGTGACATTGTAGGTGAAGCTGATACGGTTATAATTGTTCTTGAAATGCATATTGATAAGACCCTGATCGGCACCGTCAAACGAGACGTTCCTCTCGGCCATTGCTATCATGGCGTAGTAGTCACCCAAGTTTGGAGTCAGAACCATAACACCGGTGTTAAAGAGATCCGGCCAGCCAATGTCGGGAGCTGCCGAAAATGGTTGAGCTATGTCGAAGAGCTCGTCCGGAGCTCGGTAGGCAACGACATCGGAATCTATGTAGACGATCTTCCGAAACTGGGTCTGCTTCCACAGCTCGATCTTGGTAAAGGCAGAGTGTAAATCGGCTCGGTTCATCAGATGTAGGTTTGCGGGTTGCAGGTTGCGTATTCGGCTGACTGGAATAACATAATCATATACGGCCTAGACAATTTGAGTTAGTCAGGCAAGGTGTTTTTAGCTGCGGAATAGCTACGAACTTGCCTTGAGCTCTGTTACAACTTCAGCTGATACGGTATCAAGCGTGACCAAGATGGCCAGCTTCTTGAGAGTGCCGCCATCTCGTAGAGAATGCGCAAGCACTAGGGCGCCTATAGAGAGGGGTTAGAAGGTCATGGTGAGGCGTCTTAAGCTGTGCAACATACCAGGTAAATATGTGTCGCTCAAAAGAAGCTATACGAACGCGTATATTAGCTACTGTTTACAATCTAAGAATGTGTCTAAGTTTCACGAACTGTGGCGTACACGTCCTCTTCCGCTCCGCCTTGCACAGCCATCGTGTGCAAGGAATGGCAACGAAATCACGCCAGATTAAACGAAGCCAAAGGGGGGAGGATGAAGAAGGCAAGTAAATATACGAAGAGTATCGTTATTGACCGAAAATACAACGAGCTCTTTGCCTACGGGTTGGCTTTTGGTCCAAAGCTGATGAAGTAAGAAAAGGTGTAAATAATGTTATAAGGTTAAGTATGGATGTTTGCGCCGTTGATGCGGGACAATTTCCTGGTTGGCTGACGGACCTAGGTTTGTATGTGTATTTTGTTTTTTTTTCTCCTCTCTCTCTAGACCTTCCCTTCCCAAGACAAAAAGTGACAAGGGTAACAATGTTGAAGAGAGTTCATCGAAATGGGTCCGTGGTTGATGGGAAAATGCGACATTAGCGTCACTTTAAGAAGACAAGGATTACCCTTGGTCTTGCCCACGGTCTTTGGGTTATTATGTATCTTAGGTCTCGAACATTAGGCACATGTCTAGGTATTGACAGCTCTGACAACTTAAGAAAATTCTTAAGATAAACCGATTCATATTGGTCCAAAAAGGGGATCAATTATGCAAAGATACGAAATAGAGAACAGAGATCGCATGGCCAAAAGAAAATACGTGTACATATATGTGGGAAAGAGATCGCACAGCAGCTACTAAGGTGCGGCAACGTTGATGGCTGAGATCCCCCTGTAATGCACGGTACTACCACCGCCCATAGCTCCCTCGCTAGAGGTACCCACCCACTTCGTGAATTATGTCATTTATTAAGATGATTGTCTCGCAGTTGGAAGAGCTCGAGCTTATGGTGGAGCTAAGACAAGATTTAGACGAGGAGGGGGATCCTATATGTTCTTGCAGCCTTTTGGCTATACATAGTACATGTAGAATAGGTATATTTCCTTATCTCCTAATGGTTGATACAAATCTCGTGTATGTACGAATGGATACATATGGGACCAGAATCCAATTTCAGCATTTTCATATCTAGACATCAGGCCACTAAGGTGTGAGGGCAGCTGGGCAGTTGGCACTTTAAGCGCGCTAACCTGCACCAGTAAGTACCTACCTACACAGCCAGGCTAAGCGAAATGTGTTGTGAGAATAAACCGTGCACCCAACATTAAAGAAAGTGTCAGGCTTTCAAGGCACATCAAACTCCCTCAAATACCTAGGTAACGTTAATGTACATGATTGTAAATTCATTCGGAGCTGTAGAAGGTCATCTGATTTTGGACTATACATATGCAGCTTCATGTATGTAGGTCCCCAAGGTAAGTACCTAGGTATGAAGCTCAAGACATGACGACACATTTGACCTTCCCCGACCGGGACTATCCGACAGCGAATCAGAATACGTATTGGAGAACCCCGCAAACTGATCTTCAACTAATTGACCAACCAGCATCGACAGACTTGGCCGAGAAATCCAGGTTAGGAAACAGCTCTTTCCCTTCTTTCAACTGCACTTATTATGTACCGTAGCTTCACCTTTAAATCTGCCCGCACGTTGCCGTAGATGCATGTACCTAAAAGGTGGGTGACGAAACTGGGGAAATATGTATTAAATCGTGTCTAGACCTAGACCTAGACCTTGCTTGACATTTTCCCCGCACAATATCTTTCCCCAGACCTTCAATCACGACAATAATCGGGCTTCTCTACCCAGTGCTTTACTGGTGTTAGAGAAGTACAATTCTCTTTTCCTTGGGAATTGTCAATTATCTGCCACCATCTTGAAGATCAATTTCGGACGATCACAACACGTCATGCCACGAACCAAGGGCCAGAAGGGCCCTCAAAATATGGTCATCCGCTCATCTGCAGCGATGATCAAAGGACACAATCAAGGCCGCAAGGCATCGGTGATGGACAAGGTAAGCCTGATACTTTCCTGCTACTTTCCCATATCCCTGGAACACCCTCCCAAATACATGTACAAATGCATGTAACCCCTCACATTAGAGCACCGAGGAAGTGCGCCGCCACCCTTTATCCCCACACATCTCCGCATTCGTTTCCCCGATCCCATTCTGGTACCCCGCAGGGTTAAATGTCACAAAATTAGCTCAGTGATGGACCTAACCCGATGTATCTAGGCCAACCATCCTCGTGCTTCACCCAAGTCGTGTTTCGACACGCTATTCTTCAAGCTCCCGTACGAACTACGCCTAATTATATACGAGCTTCTACTATCTTCGCAAGATTTCATGGTGTGTTCGCCTCGCCGTCCGTTGTATCTTTATGGACGGGGAAACTACACAAGATGCGTTCTGCCTGTCGAATTGCTACGCACTTGTAAGCAGATCAATGCAGAGGCCACTTCTGTCTTGTACGGACAGAACAGGTTCATTGTTTACCTGAATCGTAAGTCTTCGAGCCCTTCCATACCTGTCCTTCCCTCAGTCGGAAAATGAAGCATAGCGTGAGACATCAGATATGATCAAATCCATGCTAACAATGCAAAATCTAAAGACCTCGATCGCCCATGTAGCGAAAAACACAAAAAACTCGAGCTGGCGCACTTCTTCTTGAAGTCGCTCCGAGAGTCGACCCTGTCTAGCATCAAGTCTATTCGATTCCAGATCGGATGCCGCTGCAAAAGACAGATAGAGACGCCCTTGTATGCGCATGGGGTAGTAAATGGCCTTCAGCTAGTCAGTATCTGTTTCCCGCACCATAGCGAGCCTCATTGGTTGCCATCGCGAGAGAATATTCGCAAGGCGCACGAATTTCTCTTCAAGCGAACGGCTGCTATCATACACCCGGACATATTGAACCACTGTATGAAGTGCACAGGCAGCCACGACCACTGCCGCTCATGGTAATCAGATGCTCGCCTACGAGTCACGGCGTTTCTAGCACTAGTACGTGGGTGGGGTTTGGCTAGACCAAAGCCCGAGTGTTAGGAACCCAGCAGCTCGAGTGTACGGTATGGTTCAACGAGCAATGGCTAGGGAAATTCTTATCCGGCCTTACGAATCGAGGTTACAAAAAAGCCGAGTAGTGCGCTGAAGTAGGGAAGGGGGCTGACACTTATCCTCCGCTGAGGGATATGATTTGCATGAACTTCAGTCATCGAGGGGCGACTGACCTCTAGTGCAGAGGCAGCATTTGTATGAACTGGTTGTGTTGTTCATGTTCAGTTCAAGGGCTACATGCTATGAGTAGGTAGCACGATAAGGAATGGAAAATGCATTGCATGAAGTGACTAGTTCCAACCCAAGGGGACTTCACACCAATTACACCAAATTAATCGGTGGATTCGCAAAATAAGATCCTAAGGTCATATCTATGTCTCTCGATCGGGGAATTGAACCCCGGCCACCTGCGTATACGGTCCTCGTTTGAGTCTATAGCCGAATTTACTAACGCTACTGCCAGCTGATGACAAGCAGGTATCCTAACCACTAGACGAATCAAGATTGTTTCGTATGTCTACAATTAAATTTCCCGGCCCTAAAAATAGGTAAATGGTGCGCCGTTTGTGCGTTTGGGGTGGGCCGATTGTCTGCTTCGCCTACGGGATGGACGGAGAGAAATGGAGACGGCTAGCCCAAGCAAAACACTACCTACTAGTGGGGACAGATATCACAGGCAAGGAAACAAAATGTCTCATACTGTGGTAAGTACATGTTCTGAGGCTTACTCAACAGACAACAAGTGTTGTTCGTGCCTCTTGAGTGACTTGAGGAAGTATCGCTATGGGCCAAGACTGTCAGACGTTGTATTGAGCGCTATGATGCTTACATATAAGTCTGATTAAGACATATGAGGAATCTACTGATCTGGCTTAGACGAAGACGCGATGCTTTGATTTCTCGTGGTATCTAGTCCGGAGGATATTCTCAGACTGATTCTGATTCTGAGTAAACCAGAATGAATACAGAAAATAGCCTATGTGTCGATGACATTGCAGTTATGTATATTCAAGCAACACACACCCACACCCACACCCCCCATACAGTAGGTACCTAAGTTATTGAAGGATAACTCCCCAACCGTTATACTCACTTCATTCGATGCTTATGGCTCTAAGCTCGATGTGTTTTAAAACGTGTATTAGGTTTCAGTAGAGTCCAAGTAATAGACGACCAGACTCTAGCATATCATGCAGAGCAGCATAAAGTACGCCCGAGTGTCACGCTCCACGACCCTAGGCATATCGAGACCGACTTTTAATATTAAGAACTAACTAACCAAAAAAAATTCATGCCAAGGAATCACATTCATTGCTCGTGCGCTTCATATCTACGCCCTCCGTGAAACCGAATCCTAGAGATCACCTCATGGTCATTTTCTTCTTTCGTTTCTATACTCTTGTGTAAATGCCGCGACGCCCTGTTCCCTTCCAAAAACATCCCAACCATCACTTTGTCTGGCTCAAAAACCATCCTGCCATGAACAGACCACGTTCCGACATCAACCCTACACCTCGAACAACAACGATCATAGATCCTTCTTCCGAGAGTGCTCTGGCTTATGCGATGTCTCGTAGTCGACATGGACAAAGGCCCGGCCCACATGGGGAAGCTGCTCCAACTCATCCTGCAGGTTCTGGGAAACGTCATGTGAGTTTTTCAGCGATTCCGCGGGGTCCATGACGATGTCGACCTCGACGATGTACTGCGGCCCAGAGTGGTATACCCGAACGGTGTCGATGCCTTGGATGGAGGGGTGGAACGTGAGGCAAATGTATGTAATCAGTTGCTGCATCTCGACAGGAGCTACCTTGCCGACCAGTTTCATGAACTCCTCCCATGCCTCGCCCAGCCATATGCCAATAATTACAAGCGACAGGACGATAGCACCCGCAGGATCGATCCACCAGGCAAGCTTAGAGCCGCCAACAGAAGTGAGCACACCGAAGCCATTGATGAGCAGGTCGTTGCGGTGATCAATCCATAAGGTATGCACCTGGCTATACTTGTCCTTTAGGTGCCAGCAGAAGAGGAACAGAGCGAACTTTGTGGCGAAGGCAACAGACACAGCGATTACCGACGGCAGGTTGAAGTCGTTAACTACGTCACCCGTGCCGTAGCGTTCCGCGATATCCTGGCACGAGAAGGCGACTAGAATGGCGCCCACGGTTATCATCAAGAAACAAAATATGATGTTTCCGACGCTCTCTAGGCGCATCTTGCCGGAAGGAAAACGGTTAGGGTCCACACGCTCCTTAGCCTTGTTGCAGATGATCAGTTGTACGTTGCTCAGTGGGTCGAAAATCGAGTCTGCCATGGTAGTAAAGAGCGAAAGAGAACCTGAAGATATAGCGGCATACATCTGCAGAACAGCCAGAGCGCAATTGGCCGCAAACGAACCGTAGACGGCAATAGACCATCGCAGGTGGTCTTCGCCTTGCTCGTTCTCATGATCAGTCCTGTGTTCCTCGACAGACTTGAGCAGCCACTGGATCCTGTCATTCTGCATGTGGTAGAACTTATGGATCTTCTTAGCTTGTATGTCGGGCGCGATTTTGATGAGGTTGAAGCTGCCCTCACTCATGCGCTTACGTGAGGTGTTAGCTCTGATCTCGTCAAGCTGCTCAGCTGTCTTCAGGCCTGAAGATAGGTTGTAGGGGTCGCTGTCCCTATAGCGCATATTGCCAGATTGCGACTCGACATCCGTCACGACGGACGGGTGACGAGACACGGGCTGCTCGTCAGTCTCACCCATGGCTTCTACACCAGTGCTCTTAGCATTGCTGTGCGAGTCACGGGTCGGGTGGGAGTGCGATGCGGGCGTATGACTGGAAGCTTGTTCGTGCTGCGAATCGCGTGAATGCGACAGCAACGTAGGGGTAGGTGGACTGTTAGGATCCATGGCTGAGCGAATAGAACTATTCACTTATAACGGCAGATTGAAGTGAGCTCGGAGTCCGGACATACGACCGGGCGTCCTGGTAAATCCTACCTATCTAGTGGTGAGGAATTAGATAGGCGCGGGATGGTGAGATGCAAGATGATGCGGTGTGCAAGGGAGAAAGAGGGATATTTGAATACCCCCGCGGCCTGGTCTGGCGCAGTTTGTCGTCTTACAATGAAAGTCTCCCTAGTTGCCTAGCAAACCGATATTGCGGAATGGTAGACTACCTAATTAGCCAAGGCGAATATTTGATCCCAAGTAGGTTCGTCTGGGTGGAATGATCTGTAACTCGATTAAAGTAGAGGAAGTGGGAAAAGATAGGTATTATAAGGGAAACGAGAATAAGAACGCAATTTCTCTATGTAACCATAGGAGAAAGTCACACAATAACACTAACGATAGGAATACCCTAGTGAGAAAAAGGATTCGTAGCCTTTTTGTCGATGAAGATAGAGCAGTAGCTACTGTTTGCTAGCTTACCTGCCTAGGTAGCTACCTACCTTGAGTATTGGAGCTCTGAGAAGCTAGACCCTGATTCCGTCACACCGTATGACGACGGTCCTTTATTCCTCGTGGCAAAGAGCCGGTGATGGTGGGTGCAAATGGGGACGCCCAGAGAGCCCAGAGAAATGCCAACTACGGCAATAGAACACGGGCACAATCTGGCCATTGTGATTGAGTGTGGCTTAACTAGTCCCTTTGTGGGTGGAGAGGGTCACTAAGTCGCTTGTGCCTGTGAGATGTAAGACGGGTTTTATTGGACGGATATAACTGAGTCACGGGTAAGTTTGAATTGGGTTGTCGTGAAGAGAGATGAAGAAACAGAATGAAGATTTTTGAATTTGAAATGTTTGAGGAAGCTGGAGTTCTTATTTTAAATACCACGTGCAGGGCCGGGGCAGCTGGGGCCTTATTAAATCGTCTCATATATGCAGCGACTGTCGGAAAGTGCATTCTATTCTAGGTAGGTACTTATTACTCTGACCGGTGGAATCCATACTCTGGGTAGTGTAACTGCATATGTATATCCATATCCATAAAACCCCAATAACCGAGCACCGGCCGATGGTAGGCTCCAAATTTAGGCGATAGGTAATACATAGCATATTTGGAACGGGTTCGAGTCTTGAGAATGCAGTTTTAATGGTATTATTGTACACTGATTTCTCCATCAGTAAAACGGAGGATTTAAATACCAAAGTCAAATCTGGCTTAGGGGTATCAGCTCTAGACAGACCCAATAATCTCGATTGTCTACAACTCATTAGGTAGTGCTTTGCAACTTGAAATGTGCCAAATCAATATCAACTGTAGCCAACTATCTAGCTACTAGACTGTGAGTATTACCGTAGCTCATAAACCCCATCTATCACCGTTCGACGATCGTATTACCGCGCAAGACCGACTCCAGGGGGGTATCAAATCTTCATCCTCTGCCGTATATAATAAGCAAGCACCTAGGTGTTTGTTCTGTTCTCTTACGCATCTGCGCGTCGAAGCGGGTGTGCCTCCGTATTCAACACCCATTCATCCAAACTAGCCAGGTCCCAGTCTGCGAAGATCAGGTAAAAGTACTTCAGCGTTTCCGCCAGCCAGAAGCTCTCCATACTGTCCGCCTGAACCGGTTTTTCCACCGTCACGTCGTCTAGCGCCGCCGAAGCAAACTTTGTTTTCGTCCACTTCTCGACAGCTTCGAACATGGCCCAGGCCTGCTCCATAAACTTGGTGTCCCCCGTCATGCGCCACATCATAAACACGGATTCGATAGCCTCGGGCCGCAGGATGTACCGGCGGTCGTCTACTTCAACCATACCACGAGGCAGCCGTCTCGTATCGATAATTTGCTGCACCCGTTCATCGGAAAGTTCGTCGCCCTTGGTGTTCTGACCCCAATACTTTCTGATAGCTGCAGCCCAGCGCGCCTCGCTCCACTGGCAATCGTCCTTCGCAACATCTGGGTCACAGGGGATGAAGTGGAAGATCTCTGGACCGATACCCGAGACCGTATTGTTGTAAGACCACACGCAACCCTCCGTCAGTTGTTCAGCTACGTCTAGATCCGAGGGGCGCTCAAAAATCTTGGCTGCCATTCCGACCATCCCGCCTGCGAAACATGTCAGGTGCTGGGCTATCGGCGTGGTGACAATTTGCTTTTCACCCGTAGGTAGCATGACGACGCGGGCATCACCAAAAAACAGCAGAGGCAAGTTGTCTGGATTCAAGGCGCGACGAAGTAGGTGTTTCTTGGCCACCTCGATGAAACCTTCGTACATCTTTCGCGGTTGATCGAGCGAACCTCCAAGTAATAGATATTGCTTTCCTAGATACTCGTAGGTACTGTCACTCATCCCACCGAGCGTAAAACCATCTCCTGTTGATTTGAGGGGCGATTTCGAAGCGTCCACTATGACGGGCCACATCCCCGGCAGGGTGGTGGTCTTTTGGTCCTTTTCCAATCCGTCAGAAATTCTCTGCGCAGCATCGTAGTAGAGCATGTCATTAGTCAACTGGGACAGCTTGGTAAGCTCGAGACTTAGTGATCCAATTTCGGCAAGTAGGA